TCACAGCCATACAACAAAACAGTCCGTACTGTAGCTTGATACACACGTCCCTTTAGATTCAGGGATAAACCATTCTGACGCCATAGGTGTCTCAAGTTAGCGAACGCGGCCCGAGCCTTGCAGATTCGTGCATTCACCTCATCTGTCACACTGCAATCAGAACTAATACAGCTTCCAAGGTACGTAAAACGCTCCACAACTTCCAGTACCTCTCCCTGGATTGTAAGGGGCGTGTTCAGTGACTGCACGTCCACAAGCATGACCTTACACTTTGTGGGTGCAAAATGCATACCAAAGGACGGGATGACTTTGGTCAGTTCATCCAAGAATACTTGCGCCTATACAAGCCAACACAACTAAGACGAAAGAGATGATAATTAGCCGTAGAAAAAATGTTTGCAGCTGCGAACACCACAAATATGGGTGCGATCAAGTTGTTTGCCAAATTTATTGTTCTATGGATCCAAACAGCCGGGCATGAACAGAAACATGAGTCTCACTTGAACAAGGCTAGAATCGAGCACCTCCCTGAATTGTTTCGGTGTAAGACGTCCCAAAACCTGCGGTGTCCGCACCAGAAACATGAAGTTATCACGTAGACACTGCACGGCTTGGAGATACAGATAACGTGTAGTCATGCTACGGTCATCAGTTTGTGTTTCGGGAGATCGGAAAACGTTAGACGATTTCACACTCGTGTCAGTCGCTGGTAAACGAGGTTCGTTAGTGTTCACCGACGAGGAACGCTCCTGCCTGGTGTCAGTAGAGTTTTGTTGGATCACGACAGACTCAACGCTGGATGAGGTCGGAGACGGCCTGGTGAGGGCAGAATCAGCCCATCGGAGAAGCCCGACTGCTAAGCTGATTGGAGTCATCCTGATATACCTTGTCCGCTCATGAGACCCCTGATCTGAGAAATCTGATGGTAGATCAGAATCCTTCAGGCTATTCTGAACCGGTAAGCGCAGTGCCTTCACCACGAGATCTTCGCAAGCTGTGGTGAAAAAAACACGATGAAATACATTATAAAGGGTCACAATGATAGATAATTTACAAAGTGCAAACCACCTTGTTGACAGATACGGATTGTCAAGGGTTAAAAGGTATTCACATGACGACATGAATCAGCATGGTAAAGTGAAATAGAGTAAACCAAGCTTCCTTCGAACAGTTTCACAACAAAACTTAAGTGGTGTATCAGGTTATAGTGTACATCAAAATGGATCGTATCCTCCATGGAGCTAAGTTTCGCCTCCTTGATAACGTAGTGATGGGTTTAACAGCCACTTAGCATTTAACCATCGTACATGCAACGTAGCTGAGTGCTAATTTGGCGATAGATGTTGGCCACTACAGAACCACTAGAGATAAACACATGGACCCCTTCGCAGCTGTTGTTCAGCTGCTTGACGCACCAGACGGCAACACAGGCATTATTCGGATTCTTGCCGATTTATGACGTACCCATTAAGCGATACGCGAAGTCCCACTTGAGTATTCCTACCAAGAGGGCAATACTCTTGTTTTCTTTTCAGAAGGTTTTGAAAAGCAATCGGTGGTTTTATAATTGAGCAGACGAAGTAAATTGGTTACCACGTTGGCATAGTTTTGAGACAAACGTAGAACCAGTCAGCAAAATCTCTTCCGGTTAGCACACCAGACCAGTAATGAATATCAGTCAAAAGGTCTTGTTGGTTAGTGTGGGTGCCTAAATCTTAAGGTTGATGGGTTGGAGGAATTTTAAATTATTTTGATCGGGTTTGGGTCTTTGATCTTTAAGTTCAAGGTGGTTCAAGATAGTGATTCCACTTGGGTGCGGCTGGTAATTTTTTGGATCCATGTGCATCTGTAAGCGCCACGACAACTTGTTTTGTTTTCCTCTTACTATGGTTCACCACATCTCCGATCGCATTGCAAAGCAAGCGCAGTCACCCCAATGTTCAATATTACACGATCACCAATGGCTTCAACCGTCTCAACAGGCAAAGACGTCCGCACTTGAGTAATGAGTGAAGTTCGTATACGACTCAGGTACAGCCGCAGTCGTTTTGATCAACGGTAAACCATGGATAGCCGCAGGATTTGTAGGACGTCTAGGAGAGGAAATTGTTTGAAAGGGGGTAGTGTACATAAAAAACGAATCTGACAACTACTTGCGTGGAGAGATGTGTATTGACTCATGTCACTAGTTTGGAGGTATACTTGGAGGGCCCGAGGAACCCCGTTGAACTGACATCTGAAAACTACCACAGTACAATGTGCCTATGCAGTCACATCTACTTTACGTCCATCCGATTCGACAAGTTCATATACTCAACTACTGACGATGGCCGCGATTAGGATAGACGATCACTAGTGCCTTGGCATTTGTGAAACGACAAAGTAGATCCAGAATCTCACAAAGAAATAACCAAAGACCCAGTTTTTGTCACACAACTAACTTTTCGCGTCACAAGTGGTCAGTGTTAAGCACCGGTCCCGATCCTAATCCAACACTAACACATACTGTTGTACTACTTGCCAAGAAAAACAATGTTGTCCCCCGACATGAATACGAATGAATATATTTTCTCCCTCCCTCTAATTCCTCGACCCCTTCACATCAAGCAAAAGTTACAAGACGAAAAAAGTTGAATCACCTACTCGTATGGAACATGGTAAAGTTGCGCACACCTAACGATGCGGAGTGAAGACAGTAGGATAGGATGGGAAAGAAAGAATGTGTACACTACATCAAGCTGTTTCATTACCCACAAGGATTTGTCGGTCTGTCGTCTCACGTTTCGCGTATAGATGCTGATGAGCTCATGCGTGGATGAACACTGTGAGACTAATAGAATTCGACTCGCTTTACATTCAAGAATAAAGCCATGCTTATCTGTTCCAAAAGCGTCGAATCGCTCAGGGTTTGTAAGAATCAGAAGATATACTGCAGAATCGCGTTCATCTGTTCCAGGATAACGTAGAACGGGTATCCTAGACTGGAAGACCAGAGACTGATACAATCGACCACAATAACTCCTTCACTGAACGTGCGTACCAAAAAAAAACAATAACTCGTCTCAGGAGCTATGTAGTCATTTGTTAAGTCATTTGAATGGCTATAGGACACCATGTAGCTAACAGTGCTGTGTTTAAACAGCAATACAGGATGTGTCGAATGATCGACAGGGAGCTTTTGCTCTAGGGCTCCCAATATCCAGGAGCTGATCGCATTTGGTTTCGTGTCTCGCGTACCAGATAAGTATGAATACTCAACCACATGATCGAACGGCCCTAAAACAATGAATTTGGTCTCCAACATTCATGACAACAAGTATAATCCTGCTCTTGTAAATGAAAGAGCTGAAACTCAAACGAAGGTTGATCGTATTCCGAACGTTAAAACAACGGAGTGTACTAGACTTACCTTCAGTTAGCCTTGGGAACTCTAGGTACTGACCAACCGGATGTAACTCCAGAACACAAGCCAAACAATAGGGACAGGACAAGCAAAACCTGATGTGCTGTTGTGCGCTGACATGGGGAGACGCGAAACATCCACCGTGTCCCGAGAAGCTAGATGCGGTTCGAGTGTACGAGTCTAATGTTGGGTAAGAGGCATCATCCTCCAAATATCCGACGCAACAGGGTAGTCGTCGTGCTCTTGTTCCACATCCACCGGTATGTGTAGCATGCCATTCAGTATGCTGCATGAGTGCAGATTCACTGACTAATCTGCAACTATGCTCCGACCCGCAGCCACCATTGTTCACAGCAGTTGATTCATGCGGTTTTCGTGGCTGTGCCATTGCTGCAATGGCGTTGAGATCAAGCCGATCTGAGTAGAAAAACTGGACCAAGAGATGAGCGAAATAGGGCTTTATCAGTCGACCATCAAAAACCACCGAAGTAAGATTACCACCTTCACCTACTTGGGCCACATAACGACGCAGCAATAGTCGACGCAAAAATTGTGAACGAGCCGCCAACAAACCAGCGTGACATTTCACATGAAGCATCTCGTAACAGGGAGGAGAGTGCTCACAAGAAAAAGTGAGTCTGCAGTCTGGTGCTAGAGGACTATCTGGGTGCGTGGAATCGATCACTCGATACAAACACAGCAAGTCATTACAACCATTGGAAGAATGTAGTCGAGCAGGAGCTTCTGGCAGGCAGAGCAGGTCCGGTTTAGGCTTTGTAGGTGAGTAATGGCGGTGAATCGGTTCTTCTAAAAATAGATTGAACGAATTCCTGTTATGACCAGCGTAAAGGTCTATAAGGAAGTCAAAGACTGCATGTTCAAACACCACTGATTGAGATGGTTTGTGATCTCGACGACTACGCTGCCCCAATTGAGGTTCTACAGAGGAGTGGGTTGAAAATGAGGAGCCTCCTCGTAATCGCGGCTCCTGGCAACGAACGCATTGTTGGCATGAGTCTATCGATATCGACCGTAATACGTCTGGGGAATTGCGGAAAGGATCCGGAGTTGCGTTGGAATGACTTGTATCCCATAAATAGCCCTCGTCGTCCAAGTTGGGGACCAATATGCTCATTACAGGCAGTAGTGATGTGTTTCTGGATTTGTTAAACAGTGAACGATAAACAGCGTGCAGCACCTTGGAGAAGACGTGGGAACGGGCCGCCAATATGTAGGAATGTGCGCCGCGCACAACATGGCCGTAGGAAACTTGCATATTATTACACCAACCGGATGAGCAGAGAGCTCGCAAATCTTCCTGTTAAGAAGTTGGAAAGTCGAGATGCAGGGAGGTGTCTAAACACAAATTCATATGGCACAAGCAACAAACTGTGCCGGTCAACGGCAAAGTCAAAATAACCCCAAGTAACAGATAACTAAAATAGTCATTAATTCAAAGTACCTTACTTAGGTAAAATCACTACGCTCACGGTCCGCCATAAACTGGGTCTTACTCGATAACCAATCTCATCATACAGGACCTTCTGAAACTACCTGTTGTTCGTAGACACCCATGGGCGACTGAGGTAAACTCATCACATGTGGATAAGACGTGAGCTTTGAATGGACGAAGCCAGGATGGAACCCTTCGGCATCTAAACGATCACCTTTTTGGTGAGCCGATAGGTTCCTTCTAGTTTGCGTTCATGAAAGTTTTGGATTCTTTCTTACTTAAGTTTCAAAAAAAGATCTTAGTTGGAGGCAAGCAAAGGGGCTATTAATGGCAGATGACATTGTATATGGTCAACAGAATACCGGACGCCTGTTTTCTACTCTGACCACGTTAAACGTTCCCCGTGAAGTTATACCAAAGTAAAATCAACGTAAAATTATCAGCTGTTTTCCCTGGTGTGTATGCTGAGGTCCGAGCCACAGACTGGTAAACTGCATTGCAGCTGAATTAGCTCATCACTCTCCTATAGCATCCCCATGGCGACAATCCCTTGGGGAAACAAAATTGTGTGCCAATGATTCAGATTTACCAAATGAACAATATCCTACTAAATCGGTGGATTCTTCTGGAGTTGGTTTAGCTTGTCCAAAAAGGTCCAAAAAGGTACACGAACAACCGTGCTTTGGAAAACGTCACAGTTGCAATGTAAACTGAACAGAGGATCAAGAAACATCATCATCATCATCAACGACAGCATGACATCAGTGCTCAACACCAATGCTTCACTGCCGTACAACCATGACTTATTTGAAAGCCTTATTGTAAAGAAAAGAATAAA